TCTATGTTGACAGGTCGCAAAAAAATTAGTACTTATTAATGTAATTAAAGTTTTAGTATCTAAAAACTTTATCAAAAATATCTGATAACTTGATGCGCATACGACTAATGTTCATTTTTGACCACCAAATATCGTTTTTTTTTACCTTTCCTCTGTTTCTCCGAAACCGCTAGACATGCCTTACCAAAAAATTTATTAATTATTCATTTCGTCATTACAAGTAAAATGTTTTTGATCATTCAAATCAAGTACTTCGTTCTCTCAAAAACTGAATTACCGGTTTCGGGACTTTTTGACCCATATCTCAGAAACGGCTAAACCTGTCTTCACCAAAAATTTATCAGCACGTCTTCATATAATAGGAATCGAATGTTTTTTGGATCATTCAAATCGGGATTAGTGCGCCCGAAATCGTCGACGAAAAATTGTATCCAAAAAACATAATCAAATTTTTCTGATGTATGCCAAAATGTCAGAACCTTTGAAATGTAAAGATATGCAAAAATTTTCATTTTCGATTTTTTTGCGATACTATAACTTACCTTACGCGAAATTAATAATCATTACGTTCTTGCCAAGTTTTTATCGAGTAATTCTAATCATTCTGAATCGAATCGTAAAATGAGTGGCTCACTCTCACACATTTTTTTTTTCAAGTTCAGTTTCAAACGTTTCAAATTCCTTGAAACGCAGAAAAAGCCAATTGAAAATCAGATTTTTTTCGGAAAACAATGTTCTCCTTCAAAGTAGTATTAAACTATAGTTCTTTAGTACACACTATTAAACTTCAAATTGATAGTTCAATATATTATATGTTTACAGTCTATCAATAATATTTATTATCATTGCTTTCTTCTAACTTATAGGTTTCTTCCTGGGGGAGGTACGTGTTCCTAATCAACTTGATACCCTTACACGTTTTGTGTTTAATGCTAACTGGCAGATTTGGCCATCGTGTATACGTTGCTTACAGTACTGTATATTGTGTAGGAACAATATTGTCGATGCAGATATCTTTTGTTGGATTCCAACCAGTGCAGAGCTCTGAACATATGCTGGTAAGTATACAAAATATATAAATAAAATATATTGAAATTAGAAACAGTTATTTTATAAATTATACGATTTAATCTCATAACTGGTAAACTGCGTAAAATCCTAATATAGTTCGAACAAGTGGTAATCGTTAGCTTAGTTACAAATAGTTTACTTTTCGTACGTTTGAATACTGCATTATACGCATCAATATGCGACTTGCGAGATTCGCTAAAATTTGGTAATGATTAAATTCATATACAGTAGAACCTCGATTATCCGGACTAATTGTTGTCGATAGACATCCGGTTAATCGAAAATCCGGATAATCCAAATTATGAATAATAATGTTTTGTTTATCAAAAATAACAAATACATACATAGATATCAACAAAAATCAATCCACTACTTGCCACAAACGATTCATCGTCGCCTAATTTTTCATTTAACTGTAATGCCTTTTCACAGATATCGGCTGTCCTGTTGATCGTTTTTGTAAGAACCAACAATATAAAGCTTCTTCCAAGAGTTAATTTTTCGGTCTCTTCATCATTTTTCGATTTTCACTCCCCTCTTCACTATCTAACTTGCAAATGTACGACAAAATTGAATCGGCATTTTTTTTAATATGGCTTTTTTAATATATAGTAGATGTACCTACACCATACCTATCAGCTAACTTACGGCCGGTTTCGCCTTTTTTTAATGATTCTATAATATTTATTTCATCTTTAAGGGATAACACCACTATTTAAAAATGTATATATGCACGTCAGAAGCCACTAGTAAAATTGCAAACGAACTACATAAAGCGATAATGCCGCGCGGGGCAGCAAAACAGCGGCGCGGGCGGAATATGCAAGTTCCGACGCGATTATGTCCGGATAATCGCGAATCCGTATAACCGAGGTCCGGATAATCGAGGTTCTACTGTATTTGCTTTTTTTTGGTAAACAAACATCAACAAACAACTATCGAGATATGTCATGAAAATTTCCCACTTATTGCCTAAATATAGAAATTTCAAATATATTTGTTTGCCATTTTTTTTCCATCTGTCCCCGTTTATCTCTGGGGCAAACACTTCAAATGTCTCATTTTTAATTGAGAGGGGTTTTTCCATACAAATTTCATGAGCATCAACAGAGTTGGAATAACTATTAATTTAATTTATCTCCTGGATAAGGTTTATATAAAAAATCTGTTAATTTTAAGATAAAACTAACAATGCATATCATAAAACAATTGAATAACGTAAATAAAGCGGACATCTTACCCGCATTCAATTTTCATATTTATATTTACTTTTTAATTCCCAGCATCTATATATAATATAGTTAAATTTCTGTATAAAAAATAAGAAATTTAAGATCTATGGTTTATAGAAAATAATATAAGGTTTTGGGATTGAAAATTTATTACGGCGATCGAACACATGATTTATGAATTTTACCATATGAAGGAACTTACCGTACCGATTTTTTGTTTTAAACTTTGAAAAAAATTGATTTGAGTTTTGAAATTTTTGTAAAAAACGGAATCTTTTGAAAAATTTGAATTGTTTTATATTTTGGAACTTTTTGAAATTCTAAGCTTTTTTCAAAGCATTCATCCTGTTGTCTGTTTTAGAGAAGAAAGCGCGTAAGCGCCTCGTCGCAGTCTAATGGATAATCATTGGTGCGAAATGTTAATGAAATTTGTGCTCATTATTAAAATCTGTATAAAATATTTGATAATTTGAAGTACATATGTCTAGTGATCATTTTTGACTGCCAAATGGCATGTTTTCTTACTTTTTCCTTTTATCGACGATAATTTGTATCCGAACTCACACACACATCAATTTTTTCAAAGTTTCTAATGCTCAGAAGTCTTTGAAACGTAAAGATATATAAAAAATCATTTTCGATTTTTTTGCGATTTCTATAACATTTACCCTACTTTTTGTATAGCGAAGGAAATGCCTTTATGCAATAAAGTAATATGGATGTATGTGTGTGTATATGCGGATTCAATTCTTCGTCGACGATTTCGAGAAAACGGATCAACTGATTTGAATGATTCAAAATCTGGTTTAGTTTTTACCAGGGGCAGCTCTAGCCGTTTCAAACATATGGCACTAAAAGTGCCAAAAATGGTATTTCAGTTTTTAAGATAATAAAGGGTCCGATTTGAATTATTCAAAAACATTTTACTTGTATTGACGAAATGAACAACTGGGATGGATGAAAAATGATTTTTGGGAAGGCAGATACAGCATTTCCAGAGATAAAAAAGAAAGTAAAAAACGATGCCATTTGGCGGTGAAAAATGGTCATTAGACGTATGCACATCGTATTATCAGATATTTTATAGAGATTATAGTAATAAGTACAAATTTATATGGGTTCCGTACCAATGTTTACACGTTACACTACGACTCGGCACTTACGCGCTACGATATTTCGACTCTAAATCTAATGTCTACTCTAACTTCGACTAAGCTATGCAGCGCGATTATTCAAAAAAAAGTTCAAAATTCTCAAAAATCACGATGTCATGCACCACTAGAAACTTTTCGAAGGAGAGAGTTTGTGGATAGCAGAAAATTGAAAAATTTTTCTTTCACGTTTTAGCTCACAATCCTGAATCGATTTTGAAAATTTAAAAACCGGGCGAAAGAAATTGGTTGGGAATCGACCTGATTAGTTTTTGCTGAAGATTTGCTGGAACAATTTCTTGTAATTAGCTGATGAAATTTTTTATACGACGGTTTTTATCATTTTTTTTTTTTGCGATATATCGAATAGATATCTTGGTCTTATAGATAGTACTAAAATATAACTTTTCTACGACAAGTCGTTTAATTTTAAAAATTTGTCAAAGCTTGAAAAAATTAATGAAAACCGTCGTATAAAAATTTTCACCAGTTAATTCAAAATCGGACCTTCTATCGACGTTTGTTCAAAAACGCCTAAGCCGATTTCAAAAATTTGAAAGCCATTCGATGCATCGTTTCTCAGTTTTGTGCGACTATCGGCCGACCCGTTTCTTTGTAATAAGCGAAAAAATGCAAAACTTTTTGTCCACCTTTTAGCACGCAAACCCGAATCGTGATTAACAATTGAGAAAAAAATTGTTGGAGATTTTTATGAAACTTTTTTTGACGATAGTATCGTGGTTTTAAAATATATTGAAATATTACGGCTCTACGACAAGTAGTGTAATTTTAAAAAATCATCAATCAAATCAAAGTTGATCGAATTTGTGTCAAAAGTCGCTTTTGTGATGTGACAAGTCAATCAAATCAGTTAGAAATGCCTTTGGTAATAGCAAAAAAAAAATGAAATCTACAAAACTTACCTAGTTTTATAAAAAATGTTAGCATTTGTTTAAAATTTAAATTATTAAATATTATTTAGAACTACGTGCATGATATATCGTATCAGTATTCTTTTATAGCAGGCGCTAATATTTCACACAAATGATTTAAGTTTTTTAAAAGAAATGTTTCGACGTTTCAATGTTATTGCGATAAAGTTCATGCACTAAACAGTCTTACGTAAATTGGTTCAATTATAAAAATTAATTAAAATTTAAATTAATAGGTTACAATTTTAGAACACACAAGCACTTTAATTAATATAATTACAGATTTTATAAATATGAGTAATATCAATTGGAAATCGCAATATTTTCACTTAATTGAAAGCGAAAACTTGATTTTCGAAATAAACATTTGATAATTTTATCTAAATACAATTTAAATCTGATTGATTAGGTCAATTATTACATCTATCGGGAAGTTTCTGCAACTTGCCTTAAGGCAAAATGCCACTTTCAACTAGTTGATTTTTATTTCAGGCGTTAGGAGTGTTTGGTCTGTGCCAAATCCATGCATTCGTAGATTATTTAAAGAGCAAATTATCGGCCACGGAGTTTGAGGTAAGTTTATTAATTGATTTACTGTCTAGTAATTATATCCTAGATTGGTTTTAAGAATTATATACTTTCAGATATTATTTAAAGCATTGGTGTACGTAGTCGCAACTATTACAGTTGTTGCCGGATCTTTACTGGCAGTCTCTGGAAAAATTGCGCCTTGGACAGGAAGATTTTATTCGTTATTAGATCCGTCGTATGCTAAAAACCATATTCCTATAATAGGTATGTTGAGAATAGAAATTTATCGTATTGAAGTTGATTTTAAATCAGAAAATTCTGAATTTGAACCTGAATAAATACAATTTTTTTTGCGATATAGAATGTCGAATAGAATTTAGAAAGTTGTTAATGACAATTTTTATTGTAAATCATTATTTATTATAAACATACAATAATGGGATGTTCAGCACATAATGGTGTTGGACTCTAGTTCAATTCAGGAAAACTTAGTGAGATGAGATTTACCAATGTTGTTTTAGATCGTATGCTTTATGAAGGCTATTTAAAAATGACACTTATTTCTAAATTTCATTTTTGAATTAAAACTTATGGATCAATTATGGTACCTACTACTGTTCATAAAAAATTATTAAAATTTGATTCTAATAATTCTAATTCATATAAAGTAGGTAAAATTTAAATAATAATTTTGAATGTAATAAATACATTTTATATTATTAATGAGTTATACAGACTTATTTTGTTTCATTAATTTTCATTTTTGAATGAATATATATGCATGAAACCTGGGATCTACCGATTATAAATAACTATTAAAATTTGATACTAATAACTTTTTTTATATTAATATAAAATAGTTAAAAATTATATAGTTTTTGATTTTTGAATATAATAAATATATTTTCTATTATTAAGTTTGAACTTATTTGGTTCTTTCAGCTTCTGTTTCTGAACATCAGCCAACATCATGGTCATCATTTTATTTTGATCTACAACTTTTGGTCTTTCTATTTCCTGCAGGATTATACTTCTGTTTTTCAAAATTATCGGATGCCAACATATTTTTAATATTGTACGGAGTTACGAGCATTTACTTTGCAGTAAGTAATACTATGGTATTATTAAATTATATATATATATATATATATATATATATATATATATATTGATGAGTTATTTAGAATCGGGCAGTAACACCAAGTAAAGAAAAAAAACTAAAGTAGTTTTTAAATACTTTATTTATCCATACGTTTCGGTCTTCATCGAGACCGTCATTCAGTGGAAAAAGAATTAATTATACAAAAATACACTACACTATTACACTGTGATAACCAGGCTATTAATAATTGGAACATTTAAACTAATTAATTTTTTAGACAATTTTTGCTTACATTCTAGTGTGTACAAATTGACTAACGTCTAAAAACAGTTTGCTTTCAAGTTACTGGCCACTAAAGATTCATATATTTTTGGCATTTTTCTTCGTTTTTTTGCAAATATCTCCTAAAATATACATTTTAACGAAAATCATGTAATGAACAAAATAATGTCAATAAAAATCTTAATAAATCGGTATTACATATAGTGTTCTAGGAAAAATATTAAGCAAGATTTGAAAGAGCAAAGTCGTTTTTTATTTTGTTCAAGATTTAATTGTTGTATTTAAAGCCATCTAGTGTCGAGGTTTTACATTTTTAAATCATATGGTTTAATAAGCGCCATTTCCACCAGAATTAAAGTAATTCACATTCCATTAAAAAAATTATTAAATGCGTTGGCAATTGATAGCTGATCATAAATTTTTATATTATTAAGATTAAGGCATTCAATATTGGTAGAATTTGCTTTAAAGTTAACTTCCGATTATATGAGTGACCACATCGATTTTTGTTTATTATGAGAGGTGAAAATAATATTATCATTGTACTTAATTTTTGCTAGTTCACATAAATCGTTGAAAATTTCTCTATATTTCAAAAAATAAATCATAAAACTAAAATTACTATTATGTTTGGATTCTCTTTCTAAACGCAATAATTTATTATATGAAATACATAGGCCTTGAGAGTACCACGTTTGAGTTTTATTAATGTTCAATTTATGTTTTGATATAGGGAAAGCAGTGTTGAAATTATGTAAAAAGGAATTTATAAATGTATCAAATGTAAGATAATTGGATTGATCCAACATATTCCAAGTCTCTTTTTCTAGTAGTTTCTTGAAAAGTAATTTATTTTTTATATTAAATTTTCTTTTATACCGATACACATGGGAAGTAGAATTAGTAGTATTAGGCAAAGAGAGCGAAATTCCATAATGGTCAGAAAGACCGGTATTAATTACACAGGAATTTACCGTAGATATATTTGTGAAAAAATTATCAATACAATATGAGGAGGAGATAGTTATTCTCGTAGGGTCTTTAATAGTAGGAAATAATCCGAATGATTCCATGGTAAAATTTGAAACTATCACTATTCCGGTCTCTTTTGTTTAAATGGATATTGAAGTCACCGCACACAATTATTGAATCATATTTAATAAAAAGTTCATCTAGCAGATTATATACTAAACTTATAAACTTCTTGACGTCTTGGTCAGGAGATCTGTAAACACAAACAACACAAAACGTGCTGTGAGAAAAATGGGTTTCGTATATATATATATATATATATATATATATATATATATTAGGGTGGCCCTTAAAATGGTCATTTTCGATTTTCCTTGCTCCCAGGGGCTCAAATGGTTCCAAATAGATAAAAAACAATTATCTGAAAGTTTTAGCTTTTAATATTAACGTTTAGATAGAGCGCAATTCAATCAAAGTTTGTATGGGAAGAGCATGGAAAAAATTTTGAAAATTTAAAAAAAAATGTTTTAGGTATAACTTAGCGACAAATGAATGAGTTTTATTCATTCATTTGTTCGCTAAATTACATCTAACAAACATTTTTTAAATTTTTGAAAATTTTTCCATGCTATTTCCATACAAAACTTTGATTGAATTGCGCTCTATCTAAACTATAATATTAAGAGCTAAAACTTTCAGAGAATTGTTTTTTATCTATTTGGAACCATTTGAGCCCCTGGGAGCAAGGAAATTCGAAAATGACTATTTTAAGGACCAACCTATATATATATATATATATATATATATATATATATATATATATTAATTTGGAAATGTGAACAAACAACACCTTTTTTTGCACTAATTTATTAAATAATAATGTTCACAAGTGTTTCGAGACTAGGTTTGTCTCATCATCAGTGTGTTATAATTTAAAATTTAAAATATGGAAACCTAAATTAGCATTATGTATATATATATATATATATATATATATATATATATATATATATATATATATAGTTAGTTTTTGGCAAAGGCGAGTCCAGCCATAAAATGGTAATTCAATTTTTGAGAGAACGAAGCGTCCGATTTGAATGATTCAAAAAACATTTTATTTGTATTAACGAAATGAAGAACATATGAAATTCTTCTGAAGGTAGGTCTAGCGGTTTCAGGGATCCAATAAAAAAAGTTAGAAGATGCCATTCGGCGGACAAAAATGATCATTAGAATTATGCACATTAATTTACCGGACATTTTATAATAATAAGAACAAACTTTGTTTACATTTCCATAGGTTCCGTATTAATATTTATCCGCTAGACGCGGCGCTTACGCGCTTCCACATTTTGTTTCTACGCAGTTAACGTATCGCGATTGCTTCAAAAAAGAGTTCAAAATTTCCAAAATATCAGAGTATAAAAAAATCAAATTTTGCAAAAAGGTAAATTTTTCGCAAAAAATTTTTTTTCAAAGTTCTAAAGAAAATTTGAATTTTTTTTTAAGTTTTAATTTTTGGTGCAGTTCCCTAAGGCACGATACCATGCACCACTAGTTTATGTATTTAAATAGCATTGATTAGATTAATCGTATTATAAAGCAAAAACTTTATTGTCGAAATAAACAGTTTGTCAGGTCACAATTGCTTATTTTTATTATTTCAACATAAATCTAAGTTTTTGCAACTTGCGTCCACTCGTACATAAAGGCGAATGCTTTTAATCGTAAAAGCGATTGCTCTACTAGAAAACTATACCGTTATATCCTACTTTTATCTATGATACCGTTATTTGATTAGCTTCCCGTAGTAAAAGTTATAGTAATCACAAGAAATCAAAAATTAAATGTTTTGCATATCTCTACGTTTCAAAGTTTTCCGAATATTTTGGCATACTTTAGAAAAAATGGATGTATGTGTGGGGCGCGCGCAAGCTTGTGTGTGTATGTATGTTTTGTTATACAATTTTTCGTCCATGTTTTCGGGAGGACGTCTGATCAACCGATTTGTAATATTCAAAACGCATTCGGTTTGTATTGATGAGGAAACGTGCTGATTAATTTGCTGATGTATAATAGTACGGAGCTATTATACATCAGATTTGAATGATTCAAAACATTTTACTTGTATTGATGGAATGTAAAATTGATTACAATTTTGGTAAGGCAGATCGGAGAAACTTCTCTAAGCAATTTTAATACTTATATTTTGTTCAGGAAATGGAGATTGTACGTACCTAATGCACAAAATGAAAGGCTTATAAAATTTTCGAAAAAATCTTTTATTTTAAAATTTCACCTACTTCAAAATGTAAAACTTTACATTCCTAGTAATAGTCCAGTCATTTGGTCGTTTTGCCGGTACAGTACTCCGGGAATTCTGAAAATTTGTTATCTTATAGATTTTGAGGTGCTCTTTACGAAAATCAACTTTGCCACCTCAAATTTGAATGGCAAGTTGCCGCCATATAGGAAAAATGGCGTCAAAAAACAGCTTTTTTAAAATATCTCCTTTCTGGCTGATTCTACGATAAAAGTATCTATGTACGAATTAAACTAGATAAAATTTCCTACAATTCCTTAAAAACCGTTTTTGTGTAACATTGATAGTTTGTGAGTACGGCCACCTCAAATTCTTTGCTGCTCTCGCCGTAGTATCAAATCTGTCCATATATGACCGCACTTTGAACTTGATCACATTCTTTCTAATAAATAAATATTTTCAATGTTAAATTAAGCGAATAAGATCTAGAAATAAAATAATTCAAATGGTTTTCTGTTTTTTTGCTAATTTTTTAGGCAATGGCAATGGAAAAGTAGCTATAAGTAAGTAGCATGAAGTGTTAAAAAATCAGCAAAAAACAGAAAAATATTTGAATTATTTTATTTCTAGATCTTATTCGCTTAATTTAACATTGAAAATATTTATTTATTAGAAAGAATGTGGTCAAATTCAAAGTGCTGTCATATATGAACAGATTTGATACTACGGCAAAGCAGCAAAGACTTTGAAGCGGCCGTACTCTCAAATTATCAATTTTACAGAAAACGGTTTTCCAAAGAATTGTAGGAAATTTTATCTAGTTTAATTCGTACATAGATACTTTTATCGTACGATCAGCCAGAAAGGAGATATTTTTAAAAAGCTGTTTTTTGACGCCATTTTTCCAATATGGCGGCAACTTGCCGTTCAAATTAGAAGTGGCAAAGTTGATTTTCGTAAAGAGCACCTCGAAATCTATATGATTACCAATTTTCAGAATTCCCGGAGTACTGTACCGGCAACAGCCTTTTTTTGCACCAAATGACTGGACTATAAATATTGATTATTCATTTTGCGAAGAAGTTACCTTGGAGTATATATTTATTTATTATTTTGTTATCAGGGTGTAATGGTCCGATTGATGCTTGTCCTAGCCCCAGTCATGTGTATCTTATCAGGAATTGCTGTATCATCGCTCCTCCTCACATACATGAAGCAACTCGATGACAACACTGGACACACAACAAATGTAGGCGGAGGAGGTGGATTCAAAAGGAAAGATGTCAGCGATAGAAAAGCTAAGAAATTGGAAAGTCGATCACCACTGAGAAAGCAGGCAAGTAGAAAAAAAGAATAGACCGGATATTTAAAATGCAGCTTATGAGCTTAATTAATTAATTAGTTTTATTTTGCCAAATAAAAAATTGTCTCTGAGTACAGAAACTAAATTTGCCTACGTTCGTCGGCATTTCTCTACAATTTATTTTAAAGCAATATTTTATAAAAAAAGCGAGTCTTACACTTAGTGCTTTATTACCATTAATAATTTCCAATTGTCATTATTATATGTTGTGTGTGGATACAAATTTTCGTCGCAGTCAAAAATTATCATTAGACATGTACATCAAATTATCAGATAGTTCTTAGAGATTTTAATAATAAGTTCAAATATTGTTTACCTTTCTGGGTTTCATACCAATGTTTATCCGTTAAACTGCAACGTTGCGCTTGCGCGCTTCGGTATTTCATCTCTAAAATAACTACGCTGCGCAATTTCTTTGAAAATAAAAAGTTCTAAATTTTCAAATTTCAACATCTAAAAAAATCAAATTTTTCAAAAACTTAAATTTTTATATTTTCAAAATATTTTACAGTTTTTCAAAAATTTTAATTGATGATATGCACTTCTGGTTGGCTTGTGACTGTACCACTGTATTTCTTGAAAACAAAATTCATATATTCAAAAATGTCATAAAAGATGTTGACTTTAAGTAACCTAACCAAAACATTGTGAAATTTATGATTGATTACTTGGCATATTTGCAAGGGTAATAAATTAAAAGATTGAATACTTAATTCATCAATCGATTTAAAGGAAGTTTGATACTTGATACTCATATTCCTTATAACGTAGTGGGAATTAGACATGGAAGATAAATTAAAGATTGCTGTGGATTATTTTACACCTCTTCGGTACGTCGCCTATTGAACGCTGAGCGTTCATATTAAAGCCGTCGACGAAACGTGACGTGGGGCATTCTGCGGCCGTCAAGTAGACTTGTCGCTCGTACCGAAGTGGTTAACAAAGAGAAGTGTAAAATTATTTGTACAACTTGTCATCGCGTTAAGAGAGAACATGATTTTTAGTGCTCTTTTTTGAAGTTTTAATACATCTTTTAGAGATGCTGAAAACCCCCAAAATGAATGACGTAAGCTAAACGCGAGATGTTGGAGTAATAGATAGGAAGATGGTCAATTTAAACTAACTTTAGATTTGAGTACTATTAACATAAATCGAGTTCTAGAAAGTTAAGGTATTAATGATGAATAAATATGATTATCCCAATTTAATTTCTGATTTATGAAATTGAGTTTCTAGGAACTTGGAGACGGCAGAAAATTGGAAGAGGACATAATTAATAGTTAGGGAATTAGTATCGCTATTAATTCTATTGACATTAAGTAATCGTCTTGTATTGTATCGTCGGGAAAAAGAATAAAATTGCAAAGATTGGTACAATTAGGCAAATCATTAATATAAATTATAAGTGGTGAAATATTTAACTTATTTGATACTATTGTGGAGTCTTGATCATCAAGATAAATTGATTGTGTTCTATTTGATAGATATGATGTGAATAGTTGAAGTGCTAAGCTATATACACCATATTATTCCAATTCTAATTTATCAATAAGAATTTCATTGGAAATGTTATAAAGCTTCAAGAAGGTCCCAAAACACTGTCGTGCAAAAAGAACCTTCTATAAAAGAATAAATAATATATTTGACCATTGTAAAGATTGAATGGAAATTGGGGCGGTATTAACGAAAACCGTGCTAAATATGTTATTTGTTGTATGTACAAATGTATGTACAAATGCTATTTGTATACAGAAAGTTATTAAGACTATTATACAATATTTTTTCAAAAACTGTATTAAAAGTGTTTAACAAAGATATGGGCTTTTGAATTATTATCATAGTCTAATTTTCTAATGTTTGTGAAATGATGGGGATATGAAAACATATTGAAAGTGTGTCTTTCTTCTCTGTCAATGAAGAATGGAAAAAAATTATTTAAGGATATCTGACGGTATTCCATCAGTACCAGAAGAGTAGGTGTTTTTGAGAGATAATAAGAGAGGACTGTGTTAGAAATAGTGTGGATATAATGGTTTTGAAATTACGGAGGTTTTTGAGAAAAAAGAGTTGGAAATAACTGAGTCGACCTCAATTTTTGATGTCATATCGAATATTTCATTCACAAAAAAATATTCAAAGAATTTGCAAGTGATTGTTTATTGATAATTTTGACGTTATTTATAGTTAGAAAATCTAGTTCAGAGGAATACGCTTTTTGTTAGTTGTTAGAATTCATAATAATATTATCATCATATATAATTAACTTACCTTAGGGTAAGGTATTGTAATCGTCTTAAAAACAAAATTGAAAATTTTTGCATATCTGTACGTTTCAGAAGTTTCTGAACATTTGGCAATATCTCAGAAAAATGGACGTGTGTGGTCGCGTGCGGTGTGTGTATGTATGCACTATGTTTATTATTTATAAAAAGTACATAATATTTGAGTATTAAAAATTAAAAGGAAAAGTATTGTAATTTATGATGTTGGCTGTTTGGTAGCAGACAGTAGAGAGTGATTCGAATCAGTGAATCCCCGCGCAGTGCTGCCAACATGAGGAGCCAAAGATAATGTATAACTATTAAGTTGAGATGCGATGTGGGTTTCTTGATTGTTTTTTTTTTTTAATTTTTCTTGCTTGTGGCCATGTTTGTTTAGTGCATTGTCTGCGGCCGGGGGCTAGTGTGTATGGCGGTTGCCATATTGTTTGCTGGTGCTACCTGTTCTCTGCCGTGGTGCTTATAATCGACTCACTTTTCAGGATAATGAGTGATTCATTGAACACGTGTTGTTGTTAATCTTGATGTGCGTAGTCGGAGTCGCCATTGTATGTACTAGAATGTGCTGTATTTCTTGCTCACTTGTATCTTAATGCCAATGGGTTTCACTTCCTTATTACTTTCGGTGTGTTTATTCACTGTCGCAACGTCGGAATCATAGATGAATAAGCATAAATAGATCGCTATGTCCTGTGATTTGACGTTACCTTGATTGAAAATTGAATTTAGGAAAATAGATGGCAGAACATGTACAACATGTAAATTAACCCCAAGTACTACTTCTAGATTTGTACGTATATATAGTAAGAAAATCTGGATAATTTTTAATATTGGAAATAAGAACAAAACATGCGAAGAACAAGATATATTTTCAAATATATTACAGATACATTTTTATAGAATAATTCAAATTAGTTATGGAATGTTTAAATACATGATGAATATTACATGTTATAATTCCACAATTATGCATAAATAATATCTCAAAAACTAATTGCAGAATTATTTAAAAACTAAGCAGAAATGACCAACTACTGTTAATTACTTAATGAGTATACTGGAAAACGGGAAAACTGGTGGATTAGATGTAACAAATATGCATTTTTGTTTAAATTTTTAATTGAAAACTAGCTGTATCCATTCACGCTTTGCCGTGATTTAGTTTAAATTAAAGAGTTAAACAAAGATATGTATTTATTACATTTAGTTTAAGTTTACTGCTATCTGTTCAACAATTTACCTATTCAACCTGCTTTCCAATTTACCTGTCATCCCGTTCTACATGTCTACCAATTAACCTGTCGACGTGTTCATTTATCTACATGTTCGTCATTACTTCGTCGAAAGTAATAAGGAAGTGCCAGTTGTCCACTCTACCATTTTACATATCCTTCAATTTACCTGTCCAACAGTTTACCTTTATAAATTCTCTAATACACCTTATTTATTTACGCATTATAAAAAAATTAAAGCTCAAATTTATTCTACGTTTTAGTTAGAAAACGTTTGTATGTGAAAAAGAAAAGGGCTGTTTTTAGGGTTTTCCCGGCAATTATTCGATTTTTGCTCACCGTAAGAACCATCTTTCGACTTCAACGAACATTTTAAAAAAAGAATTGGCCAAATTGGTCCAGGCGTTGTTGAGTTACGCGCTTACCAACACATTTTGCGGTTCATTTTTATATTGTAGAAGATAAAACACGGCGAAGCGTGAATGGGTACAGCAGGTAAATCGTAAAATTTAAGACTTTCTTGCTTCTTTCAGCCTTTAATTCTTTTCAATTGAACTTATGATAAGAAATATTTAAACTTTTTGTGGGCCAAGTGCACAGATATTTGTTCAAATGACTATTAAACTTTAATAGTGGTAATGCGAGATTAAATTTATGCAAAAAAGAAGTAATAAATACATCAAACTAATAATTATTACGTCACTCAATAAGTCCGTGTGATAACACATAGACGATGTAGCTATGTAATATGAAAGTTATGGCGTCAGTTTTTGGGATTTCCTGGGAATGATCTTTATCCACTATCTTGAAAAAGGCTAGAGGCTAGACCATCAACAGTGACTATTAAATAACGTTATTGTAGCATTGGAAGATCGTAATCGAAAAAATGTCACGAAGTCACAAATCCGTGAAAACATTGGCAAAAAAACATGAATTGGGCTCTGAATTGGTTCCCCATATTTTCTAGATCTGTTCCCCAGCGATCTCAGAAGGATGCTCGTTACCAAATTATGAATTTTATGGCAAAGTACAAATCGTACTCCAAAAATGGTTTCGAAAAGTTCGAAGTTCGCTATAATCATTATATCGTCTTCGAAGAAAGCTATATTGAATAATTTAAAACCTAACTAGTGAGGTGTATGGCATCGTGCCTTAAGGCAAATTGCTGGAACTTCCCATACCGTACCGAAATGTTCGAGAAATACCGAATGTTTTCAAATAGATTATTATTAATATTGTAACATTGTCTAATATTTATAAGAATTATATAAACTGAATTGCAAAGTTGAAATTATTTATTTAAAGTATATTAGAACAATAGTTAGAATTAAAAAATAAAATCTGAATTATTTTCGATATACATTTTTTTTTTTTTTTAAAAAAGTTGAAACAATTTTTTTTTTCCAAAATCAATTATTTTGTTAAGACAAGCAGAAAGTTCTTTGAATCATTCAAATCGGATGCTTAGTTCTCTCAAAAACTGCTATTATTTACACATTTAGCTCCGTATCTTCGAAATAGCTGGGCCTGCCTTTGCCAAAAACTAATAAACACTTCTCCCAATCATTACTAATTGAATGTTTTTAGATCATTCAAACCGGATGCTCCGTTCTCTCAATAATTCGATTTCTATTTTCTGCACTCTTTGCTCTTTATCTCCGTAACTGCTGGAACTGCATTTGCCAAAAACTAATCAGCTCATCTCCCTATCAATAGGAATCGGATGTTTTTTTGAACCATTCAAATCGGTTGATCCGTGCGGCCGAAAACGTGACTGGAAATTTGTATCCATACATACATACACACACACATCCATTTTTCACCTTCAAACGTCAAGAAATGTAAAAAATTTCAATTTCGATTTTCGGCCCATTACAATAACTTACCCTACGGGAAGTTAACAATCATACGTTAAATGTGATGTTTATGCAAAGGTTCTTTATCACGAGTCGAAAGTCTCACAAAGACGCTATGCGGAATTGGCTTTTATTTTTTTAGACAAATTTAGTATTAATAAGCGAACTGATACTAGCTTCCTCCGCAAAAATTACCAATATGTTTTAAATAATATTTCCCAATTTTTATCGAATACCGCGCTATGTTCAACACTATCACGAAAAATTGGGAAATATTATTTAAAACATATTGGTAATTTTTGCAGAGGAAGCTAGTATCAGTTCGCTTATTAATACTAAGTTTGTCTAAAAAAATAAAAGCCAATTCCGCATAGCGTCTTTGTGAGACTTTCGACTCGTGATAAAGAACCTTTATTTAAGAGCAAAATTTTTTGAAAAAACTCCATACGTGTTAGCAATAAAGAGTACAGCAATATATTATATTGCTGTACTCTTTATTGCTAACACGTGTGGAGTTTTTTCAAAAATTTTTGCGCCGCACGCTTACAATTTTTACAGAAATTAAACTTGCCTCGGATGAGCTACATCTCGTTTAATTCCTAAAAATATTTTATTTAAAAAAAAGGAATCATTGACATTTAGTGCTTGTTCCCAATGACTAATTGAACAATAAATTCAATAAATAAAAAACAATTTGTTTTTTGTAAATGTCTAATTACGACGTTTTGGAACTAGATACGTTCCATCATCAGGTTTTTTCAATAATTTTATTTTACAATATTTTCTGTTTTCCAGATAGCAACAGCCTTCGTCTGCATAATGACATTATTGTTGATATCGTATACCTATCATTGCACTTGGGTGACCGCTGAAGCTTACAGTTCTCCAAGCATAGTTCTATCAGCTAAATCACATGATGGTGGAAAAATTATATTTGATGACTTCCGAGAAGCTTATTATTGGCTGCAGATGAATACACCTCAGGTATGCGAATTATAAATAAATCAAACCGAGCTTTTTTGTGGTAACTCTCTTTAGAGTAATTAACCACTGCATACTTTTATTTATCATAGTCTATTTTTGATGTATTTTAGGATGCTCGTGTGATGTCATGGTGGGATTATGGATACCAGATAACGGCAATGGCCAATCGTACAATTCTGGTTGACAATAATACTTGGAACAACACACACATTTCTCGGGTCGGTCAAGCCATGGCAAGCACTGAAGACAAAGCCTACGAAATAATGAGAGAACTAGATGTTGATTATGTACTAGTGATATTTGGAGGACTAACTGGTTATTCTTCTGATGGTAGGTGGACGTTTGATTTATATTACATGTGTAAAATAATGAATGAATTAATTTAAACTTTTTTTTAGATATCAATAAATTTTTATGGATGGTGCGCATTGGAGGTAGTACTGACAGAGGTGCCCATATCAAAGAGTGGGATTATTATTCACCAAGCGGAGAGTTTAGAGTAGATAGGGAAGGTTCACAAACTCTACTTAATTCTTTAATGTACAAAATGTGCTACTATAGATTTGGAGAGGTTTACACCGAAGGAGGTAAGCCACCTTGCATATTATTAAAAAACATTTAATTTTATGTGTGGCTGAGAACTTCTCACTAGTACAGTCAACAATCCGTTAACGCGGCAAGTGCGTATCGTGTAGTATGAGAAACGTGCTTAAAAAACTCGTATTTAACATACAATTTAGGCTCATTTGTAATGCCTACAATCGAAACTTGGTATTACGTTTTATGGGGCCGCGCTAAGAGAAACTCGGAATTAGTACAAATGGTACAATTTTTATCGCGTTTTACAGAGACCTAGGAATACAACCAGAAAAAGGGGATATCCAGAGGAAATGATATGTATGTACAATGTGACAAAGACATCTTATTTAAAAATTGGCGCGACGCAGTATTCAGTTCAAACATGTTCGCGCTTTCAAATGTTTATTTTATAGATGGTTTTCTGGGGACATATTTATTGTTATTTGTAACTAGCTGACCCGACAGACGTTGCTCTGTAATCATGTCTATACAATTCAAAAGTTAGATTTTTTTATATTGTTGGATATTTTTCAAAAAGTGGATGGAATCTGTTTCTATTCCAGAAACCAATGAGTACAATGGCTATGCTGGTGGATCCAATGGTATTCATTTCACTTTACATTGTATTAGGGGGACTGGAAAGTAATGTCGTTTTCTTACGCTAAACTACAAACACATACATTTTTAACGAGTCTTTATTTTTAATCAATGATGTATTCCCCATCATTGTCAATAACCTTTTGCCATCCAGTGAGTAAATTTTCAATCTCTGATCGATAAAAATTAATTGGTTTTTCGGCAAAATATCTAGAGATGGCATTTTGGATATCATCCAAATTTGCAAATGTTTTGCCACTTAAAAAGTGTTGCAGCCCTCGGAATAAGTGGAAATCCGATGGTGCAACATCGGGCGAATATGGTGGATGAGGCAAAACGCTTCTGTGTTGTGTCGTTGAAGCAATAAGTTGCATGTGATTGATCGGTTAGCCTTATTCTGTTCGGACAGATTATGCGGGACCCAAACACCTGCTCTGCTTACTTTCCCAATCTGCTTCAAATGTTCTTGGATGGTCGACCAAGGTTGGTTGAGACTGTTTGACAATTCCTCGATCGTCTGACACGGATTTGCTTCCACTTCCGCCCTTAACACGTCGTTGTCTAACTCTGATGGTCTTCCTGATCGATACGAGTCGGAAAGATCAAAATTACCCGATTTGGACTGGGAAAACCACCTTTGGCATTTATGAATGTCCAGTGCATTTGGATAAACATCGCAAATGTTTTTGGTAGCAACTGTTGCGTTATTTCCCTTGCGAAACTCAAAGAGCATGCAATGCCGGATGTGTACCTCTTCTGGTATTTGGCCGCCATTTTACCCAAAATTACAAAAAAAAATTGTAATTCAAATGTCTATAAGTAAAGAAATCACTATGTCTCACAATGTCTTTGGTACGCCTCTGAACCAAACAATGAGCTGACAAATGACAATCAAGTATTGGCATGCGCAGAAACGACATTACTTTCCGGTCCCCCTAATACATTGTACATTGATTTTGTATTTTAATGCTTTACATTGTGAGCAAACCGAGTTCATAGAACCAATAACAACACATTGGTAGTTACAATAGTCAATTAACACATCGTAACTGAAAGCTGCTCGATTCAAACTTGCGCGACTATTAGTTGAAAGTCGTGCTCGTGCTTCACGTGTTTGTGATATCCTAATTCTTTCCTGTTTATTTCGGTCGTCACGTTCTTGTACAGTACGATTAGATCGGTAATTAGCTTGGTTTGTAGCATTTCGTATTCTTCTATTTAAATTGCATCGTCTTATAGGAGGCATTATTAAGGGTGCATTCGCGTTGGACGCTTACGCGTTGTGAGTGTGCTTACATATGTCATTTTCATCGTTCGACATCGTGCTCTGAGTGTCACATAAGTACGCTCATGGCTGAGTCGTAGCATGTTCGTAGCACATACTTTGCGCTCATATATGCTCACGCCACAGAGGTAGGGCAGCGAAAGCGTGAGCGTCAGTTTTTACTATCTGTCAAAACGAATGCAACTTAAGCATAAGCTAACCAAATTTCATTTATTTAATAATTGTTAAATTCTTTATAATCCCGCAAAAATGGCAAGTTGTAGATCCAGAAAATAATAAAGTTTACACAATTACTGTTACCGCCAGTTGCCGCCATGTTGATGATTATTGACGCTCCAAAACGAAACGAAATTTAAAAAAAAAGAATTGGCCAAATTGGTCCAGGCGTTTTTGCGCACTTACCAACACATTTTACGATTCATTTTTATGTTATAGATTATTTTATTTAAGGTTCGAATTGTAAAATCATTCAAATTTGTTGAAGAGATTATCGCCTGTTTCTTCAGCAGACGTGAATTTTGTCCTCGCCATTTTATAATATGATTTTTTAACTCCACTTGACTGTTCTCGATTCATTGCATTAATACCCTTTTAATGTCTAGTTAATACCAGAGTTATTCATTGATTGCGCAAAGAACTTATGGGCTGTATGAACGAAAATCGTGTAATAAGAATAGGAAGTTCGTAATATCGGAGGGATATCACATTTTATATCCACGTAATATGGGAACCGCGTTTCCCGAGGATCGTGTTAAGGGACTGTTGACTGTATTTGATTTTTGTAAATATATGTTCTACATGATATAGCAGAAAATCTGTCAATTTAGGTCATATAGTTTAATTTAATATGTTTTCTAACCACGCACATTCCAAAAAGTTTTGAAAGTGTGATGTGTGTGATGATGATGATAATTCATGAGCTAAATATAGACTTAAATTCATCTGATGATTTTATATCATATATTGTGTCGTGCTGTTTATCTAATGAATTTGTGTCATATATAGGAAAGCCTCCAGGTTACGACCGTGTACGTTCGGCAGAAATTGGCAATAAAGATTTTGAACTCGATGTACTAGAAGAAGCCTACACAACCGAGCATTGGTTAGTAAGAATCTATAAAGTAAAAGATCTGAGAAATCGTGGTGTATAAAAATAGGAAATACAAATTAATCGTACTAGTTTTAAAATATAGTTTTTCAGGTAACGACTCTAGTTTAAAACATAGTGAATATAATAATATAAAATCACGATTTTTAATAAAATTATCAAAAGACATCACAATATGTTAGTTATTTTGTACTATTTTTATTATTATTTGATTAATAAATCTTTATATCACTAAAGTGGTCTCATAATTATTACTCTAGTTTTCTTCTTGATAGAATACAATTTTTAATATAAGTAGTGATGTATGACATCATGCCTTAAAGCAAACTGGTGGAGCTTGCCGTACCGTAATTAAATATTGGAATGATTTTAATTGATTTCAAATAGATTATTATGAATATTGTAACTTTCATTATTCATATTTAGTAGATGAAATGTAAGTAGCTTATAAATTGAACGACGGTCTTTATACATGTTTATATGAAAAGTAAATAAACAAACCTCATAGAAATTTGATAAACTGAATTGCAAAGCTCAAATTATTTATTTCAAGTATATAAGCGAGCTTTAGAATTTTCGATAGAATTAAAATTAAAAAATCTGATGATTTTCAATATTAAAAAAAAAGAAAATTAAAAAGAAAGTGGAATTTTGAGATGAAAAAAACAATTTATTTCTCAAAAAACTAATCGATTCTAAGCATTGTCAATGCAAGCAATATGTTTTTTTAAATCATTGGAATTTAGATGCTGCGTTTTCACAAAAACTAGATTTTAGCACTTTTTGCTCTTCATCTACCAAACGGGTGGACCTGCCTATGCAAAAATCTAACAAAAACGTCTCGCTGTCAATATGAATCAATTGTATTTTGAATCAATTTCAAATAAGAAATCAAACACTAATAACAAGCACATCAGATATGCAAAAAGTAAATGTTGAGAATTAACTAATCATTTGCCAGAACAAATTGCAGCATTAAATTGCTGCAATATTGCCAGAACAATGCAGCTCATAATAGCAATTCTCTGTAACATCTTGAGATTCATTAGCACGAAACTCCGCTGTCTTGACAACCATGGTATTGAAAATAGCAAAATACCACCGCAATCAAATATCGGATGTATAAAACTGACAAAAAAAATCCTACATTGTTTTTCAAATTTAAATTTAAATTTAAATTTAAATTTAAAGAAGTGGTTCTTCTACCACGAATTACAATGGCACTATCAGAATATACCATACTATTTAAATGATTGAAATTTTTGGTACGCTTAAGATTTACCATGAAATAAATAAAATAGTGGATAGTACAGACCTAGGGCACTTCCTTGAGCTGAATTAAATTCCACTCGACCGTTCTCGAATCATGGCATTTTTTTATAGTCATAAATAAATCTTAGGGTCAAACGATGTTTATTTTAGACGTGATTTAGAAAATCAATGTTTTTCGCAATTGTATGTGGCATGTTCAGATGTGAGAACACCTAAGAATTTATTGGGGAAATTATTCCATGGGGAAGGGCTTATATGATCGTAATGCCTCGCCTCAAAAGTCAGTCATTGCCTTCACCAACTTTACCACTGCTATTGAATAGAATAGTAACTACATTGTTCCCACGGCAACCCGATCTAAACTATCAGATAACACATGTTGACCTAAATGATATTTAACACAGCAAGAACGGATAGAAGCTTGTCATTGAGTTGGAAATAGTAAGGCACAGGGATTATATTAATTCCTAATATCGCTTTAAAAGCATCAGTATTGGCATCTCAGACAATATTTTTTGGTGCCCATAATACACGTTTAAGAGAAAGAGTTCCACGAAAATGCAAACAGCAGAGATTAGATCCCAAAGGAAGAAAATGACCAGATGAAACGTCACCTTACCGCCCCATATATATGCTGGATACATGGGGGAAATTTTTTAAAAGAATAATTAGCAGTCGATCAGTATAGTTTTCGCAAAAGGCGATCAACTATCGACGCTATAAACGAACTTGATAGTTTATATATTATCCTTGGCAGTTTGTTAGTTATATATTATCCTTAGCCAAGGAAGCAATTGCTGGAACCAGATGGAAGGGCAGTGCAAAAAAGTACTGTCTAGCAGCTACATTATATAACAAGAATGCGTTTAATTCCGCAAACTGGAATTGCATAATTCCGTTCTCGACCGCCGAAGAAGTCACACGTGTTTTTTCACTTTCAATAAATTGTAACAGAAGTACATTTACCTAAATTTTACTTAAAAATTAATACCTTACCCATAATAGCACCTACTTTACTCCTTAAAAGAAATAAGTTTGCCTGTTATACCGTTACGCCATTGTCCGCTTTTGCAAAGTAAAGAAGTAAATACTAAGTTACAAAAACAAAATACCTGGAATTATCAAGAAACCCCTCTGAATCATCAAGATGGTTATTACAAGATCAAATTTGGTAAGTCAATCTAATATTATTACCGTAACGAACGATTCTTCGTTTTTAGATAGCACGATTGCTTGTATTGATTGTTCAAATTATCGCGATATTATTAACACGCTAAATTCAATTATTAGTGAAAAAAATAAAACCATTACTAGATTAACTGAAAAATTGTCCCTGATCAATTCCAAGTTGATCAGTATTAGTTCCGATTCAGTAGTAATCTCGCCTAAAGTTGATGTTATTTCTCGCGAAGACTCAACTACTGCGTCTATAGTTACTTCTAAACCAAAGGTTTTACTTTTAACTGATAGTCATGGCAGAGCATGGTCCTACGACCATGGTCAAACGTTAGTGTTTTCGGCAAGGTAATGCCGGGAGCAGGAATATCCAATGTTGTTTCTGGAATTGCAGATGCCGTTGTTGATTTTGGTAAACGGGATCATGTGATCATTATGGCTGGGACGAACGACTCAAATTCCGATTATGCTATTCAAGATGCGTTGGAATTTGCTCGTCGTTCATGTAGTAAAACAAATCTTTGTTTTGCCACAATCCCTTATCGTTATGACTATCATGACCTAAACCCCAGAATTTTCAGCATTAATCGTTGCATCTTCCGCGATTACGATAATGGTATATATAGTAACGTCCATATCTTTGATATCAACAGATGTTAATATCAACTTGACTACACTCGTCATGGTCTTCATTTTTTACTGAAGACAAAGTTAAAACTTTGTCGTTATCTTATACGGAAAGTTTTTTCTCCGCTGATTTCAAGTTCTAGTAAATCTAGTTTTTTTCGGCCCAGATTCTGAAACTTTCGTATTTTTTTCAAAATATTCAGAACTTACCAAATAAAATCGAATTAGCTCTGAATAAGTACTAACCATATTTTTTATGTTTAGCAGAGCATTGGCTAACAGACACTCAATTAAATTTAATTAAAATTAAAAATTATTCCTTATGTTCTTCTTTCTCTCGTAGCAACTTTAAACACGGGGATGTTTGCATATTTTATTATAACCGGTATTTCACAAATAGAAAAAGTATTTGAATTTTGTGCAATTGAAGCAGTTATTTCCAAACGGGTTTATTGCGTTGTTTGCGTCTATAGAGCGCCCGATCAAAATGTGAACAAGTCTTCTTTATGATTTAATAGAAAACCTTTTTAATAAATATGACTCAATTACCGTGTGTGCTTTTAAGCCATGAGAAAATCTTCTACAAAGTATGAAATCTTTTAATATGAATCTCATGATTAAAAAAACAACTAGTATTACAAACTCTTCCGCATTGACATTTTTTTCACAAATTTATCTAACGTCGAATCTTTTGTTATAAACACAAGCCTCTCTGACCATTACGGCAATATTCTTAATATCCCAAACAATATAGAATCATCAAAAGCTATCTTTAAATATAAACGCAAATTTAACGATACAAATAAACTAAAATTTAGAACACTTTTAGAGCAAGAATCACTATTAGCATTGGATCAAAATATTACGTTTGAGGTATTTATTACTTCTTTTTTGTCTAAATTTAATCTCGCATTTCCAATATTAAAGTGTAAGAGTTCTTTAAGCAAAGATCTGCGCACTTGGTCCCCCAAAGGGTTAAATATTCCTTATAATAAGTTACTGCAATTAGAAAGAATATCCAAAAACAACAACGACTTAAAATTCATAATTTACTTTTTGGAATATAGAGAAATATTTAATAACTTATGTAAAATTGCTAAAATTATGTATAATGACAATATTATTACGAAATCTAGCAACAAACAAAAAGCAATGTGGTCTCTCATTAAATCTGAAGTGAATTTGAAATTGTGTAATTTCCACTATGTCACAAGGAATAGAACTATCAAAGGATCGACTTTCAAGCTTAATTCTACTTTTAATTCAATTGATGGTTTTGATATTCAACTATTCAATTTATTACCTTTACAAATACGTCAACTAAGCAATCATAAATTCCACAACGTTTTGATTAATTTATTAAAAACCAACAGTTTTTATTACATTTTTGAATATATTAATTTTGACTTCAAGAAATACAATGGTACCATCCCCTTCAAATTATAAATATCTATTGTTACTAATTATATGTGATATCTCACAAATACAGCAATTTTTGGCTATAACTGAGTATTACTTAGCTGTGAAATATTTTTCTTCGTCTCTGATACTGCTTTTTTCAGAAAAGCGTCTAAACTTTTTAATAATTTCTGCGAATCAATGGATATACAGGACCTCAACTATTGAAGATGCTCTAAACTTCCCCTAGGGTAAGTTATTGTAATGGTCCGGAAATCGAAATTGAAAATTTTTACATTTCTCGACGTTTTGAAGGTTTCTGAACATTTTGGCATACCTCAGAAAAAATGAATGTGTGTGTGTGTATGTATGTATGGATACAAATTTCCAGTCACGTTTTCGGGCGCACGGATCAACCGATTTGAATGGTTCAAAAAACATTCGGTTCATATTAGTAGGGAAAAGAGCTGATTAGTTTTTGGCAAAGGCAGGCCCAGCCATTTCGAAGATACGGAGCTAAATGTGCAAAAAATGGCAGTTTTTTGAGAGAACTAAGCGTCCGATTTAAATGATT